CAAATATTTTGCGCAAATTATTAAGGTAAGGGTAGACACAGGAAACATAAAAATTAAACATCTTTTTCGAAACTTAATTTTTTATAAATATGTTCATATATATGTTTGTAAAGTAGGAGTTTTAATGATCTGACCCCCCAGGGATTGTTCTATGTCGAAAAAATATATCCACGTTTTTTTTTTTTTATCAAAAATTATGTAGAGGTAGCTCAAACTGCTCAAAGTTTCCCCATGTACATATTTTATAAGGGGAAAAAGCTATTGGAGAATCAATATTTTTCAATCCGCAAACTGTGTTTCTCTTCAAAAGCCTTCAAAAAATAATATGCAATTGTTTAACAATTTTTTAATATCGAAAGTTTGCCGATAAAAAAATATTGATTTTCAATGGCTCCATACCATTTTCTACGAAGAAATTTTCCCCGATATAAAATACACATGTGAGAGCATTAAATTTCCAACTTTACTTTCTTTGAATCACCCTAATACGTATACAAAAAACAATCAAAATCCCCTAGGAATTATATTTCTGCCTTATAATTTAATTAGGAAGTTGCCTATGATTTAGAGGAATCGAAATACCAAAATGCAGAATTGCGTCTTTCCATTTACGGTAAATCGCCGGATGAGTGGAAAAAATTAGCCAAATGGGCCATCGATTACAACGTGCATTCGACAAATGTACGCTGGCTGATACAGATTCCACGTCTTTAGTAAGTACATAAAATTATAAATTTATTATTTATGAACTCGTTTTTTTTTCAATATTAGAACTTACATTAAAAATGAATAGATTTTAAATAACATAATCGTATTTTATCCCTCCTTTAGTGATATATTCAAATCCAACAATTTGATGAATTCATTCCAAAATATCCTGGATAATATTTTTCTGCCTCTATTCGAGGCTACCAGCCGTCCTAATGAGCATCCCGAATTGCATCGTTTTCTCAAGTATGTCATCGGCTTCGATTCAGTGGACGATGAATCAAAACCAGAGAATCCAATTATCGATGTGGATATACTAA